TTGATGTCACAGGCATGCAAATCACAATATTAGGATGCCTGCTCAAAAGCTGTAGTGGCTGATATATGCTGATATGAAGTTTGTGAAAGCAAAAAGCACGCTACTTTCACCAGGGACCGAGACTTTGACCAGGCCGTAACGTCACAGTGCCATGGGAAGGGCGTGTCAAAAGCACCTAGCAAGTGACCAAACAGGGCGACCGAGACCCCCTGGACAAAAGAACGCTTTCAAAACAAAAACCATCTGGAGCTTGCAGTTAAGGTCCGGGAGTGCCCACTGGGATCTGACGCTTGCTGGTCCGGGAGTGCCCACTGCGATCTGACGCTTGCTGTTGAGGTCCGGGAGTGCGATCTGGCGTTTGCTGTTGTGAGGAGAGGAGAAGGAGAAGAAGGAGCAGGAGGAGGAGGAGTCGTGGGCTCACCTGACAGGTGGGGAATGGTGGGGAACAACGAATGTCTCAACGAGCATAGCATACACAAGAAATGGCTTCAAACTCAGAACACAAGCTGGGACGCTGACACAAGTCAAGAATCCAACAAAACCAAATCACAAGATCATAAAGAAATCACAAGCAACACATACCCCACCGCAAGGCAAACGCTCAACAAATACGACTTAAAACAAGAAAATACGACTTAACTCAACAACAGGTATATAGATCTATAATCACCAGCTCTGAAATTAGTGAGGCTCCTAAACTACTGCTGTACATATCAATTAGACTCGTTCGCTTGCCAAAGAAACACCAACCCAAACCACCTAGATGTCTCTTGAGTCCGGATCCTTGAAGCAGCTTTCAGCGCACGGTTGACTTGAGCAGGCACCATGCTGGACTCCAACTCAGCCTGAGATTCGTAGCTTCGAAGCACGTTACAAGCCGCACAGTCCTGGACCAAGGAGCCCCAATTTCTGGGCACGCACACATCAAGGACTGCAGATGCACTTCGGAGCGTAATGATTTCAAGCTGCAAGTTGGAGCAATGTGTGTCTGTGCGCCTGTATGAAATCTCTCAGGTCCAATTAGCATGTATCGCTTGGCGAGCGCACGCTCTTCCTGCCTCTGCTCTCCCCCCCCTCTCTATCTCTCCTTCCCTCCCTCTCCCTCCTTCCCTCCGTCCCCGCTCCTGCTCCTCCTGCTCCTCTTCCTGTTGCTCCTCCTGCTCCTCCCCTCCTGCTTCTTCTCTTTCTCCGCTCATCTCGAATGCAAAATGTGCAATTTACACTACCAGTTTAATTTAATGAGATGTTCATATCCTACAAAGGCCCATTCGGGTCGTCTTGCAAGGTCAGGGGCTGCACAGAGTCACTGAGGTGAAAACAATGTCTTCTGCAAAGGCAGAAAGTTAATATGTCATTCAGTTCAAGGTCTGGACATGTCAAAGCTGTCTGTCTTGGTGGCTTACTACATCACAAGGGGGGCACGCTATATAAAGTTACTCTCTCTCTCTCTCTTTCTCTCTCTCTCTCTCTCTCTCTCTCTCTCCGACTCCGATGCGATGTGCCAGGGCGGAGGTTCTGCCAAATGAAATATTATGCTGTGATCTCACGACCGTTAGTTTGCTTTCATGTGTCATGTCCAATGCCACTTACCCCAGATCATTAGGGCATGAACATCCGTTGGGTGGCGGCCCTCATTTGGAGACAAACCTCTGATAGACACAAGCGAGCATGAGAGCAATTTGGTCCTCCACTGCACGCATGCATCATACAACATAGACCTGTGTGTTAGACAGTCTGGAAAATGTTCTAGGTATATAGAGTATGTCCAGAGTCCAGCATCTATGGTGGCAACTGTGGTGCATGGCATAGCAATACAACATCATACAACATCCATTGTTGTCAAGTTGTGGTGGCCAGGTATACCGTGGCTAACAAACCAGAGTGCTTGTCACTGGGGAGCATCAACACTAAAATGTCATGCTTTCAAGAGGTCCCTGAAGGAATCAGGACGTACGGAAACCGCACTCTTTGCAGGATCCTCGTAGGTTGAAACCCAAATCCACACAAGAGGTTGCTTCCCATGCTGGGCATCAAAATCGACAACGTATGCCTCTGAGCCTTCGATTGCCAATCTGACATACCCAACTGTCCCGCTAGGTCAAACCAAGTACCTCAGGGAAATATCCTGAACACAAGAACACAGCAGAATAGCACAATAGCACACTTGGAAGTGTTTTAGCTGCTACAAGTATAGCTTTTGACCCAACCCAAAATTAAAGCATCAACACCTTGCTTGTTCTTCGAACAATCAACTCGTTACACAAGTCTGATCCATTCACAGCAAGCAGCCAGTGCCATAGCCCGGCTTTTCGTCTGAGCAAAGCAGTCGTGAGGCAGAAACAGGTCTTACTTTCAAGTTGTGAAGGTCTAGTGCGCTGGAATCAAAGCCATTGATTGGAGATTGACATACTGTACTCTGCTGTTCTGAATGGAGCCTTGGTGGTGCGATCTTATCCGACCAAATGATTTCAGTTCAACCCCCACGCAACAGATAATCCTCAACAGCGGGCTACTCATGGCTGCTGCCAGTAACAGCTTCTCTGCATGCAAAGACACCTATGGCACACTCCCAAAACACCTCGCTCATGGCTCCCATTCACAAGGCTTCTGATGTGGAAGAGCTTTGTGTACGGTGTGTGTTCGGATGACTCCCCATGCCTGATCCTGGCGTGCTGCCATCACCGAGGCCAAAAGGACTGCCAACGAGACGATGCGGCCTGTGGATTTGCTCGACAAGCATCGAAAACAAAACGACTTCGGGGCCATGCTCTTTGAAAAGAGACCCTGAGCATTTTGGGGTCATAAGTCAAGTATATACATCTATCTTTTTTAGAGCACCAAAACCTCGCTTTTGAGCTATTTGTCTAATTTTGTTCAGACCAGGTCTACAAAGATTTATATAGAGAGAAAGCAACAAAAAAACAACAACATTCCAAAATACAAAAACTGACAAGCAAAAGCAATGGTTGAGATAAATGAGGGCAACACCTATACAATTTTGGTGTGTAACAGTGTTTGCTTTTTTGGTAGTTCCATCATTGGATCTACATTCATTCAGCACATCAAACATTATGCATACACTATATATATATATAGTTATTCTTTTCCTGACACGGTTGGATAGTTTTGAGGGTTTGTACGACAGCTTTTTGTCAAGTACTAGAGCCACTGTGCTTCACACAGGGCAAAAGGAGGTTCCGTAATCAAATTTGGAAGCTCGCAAGTTTCACTGCATTGGTTTCCGCACTCGCAATTGGAAGCTCTCACTTCATTGCCTTCATGCTCTTTGATCGCTTCATAGCCTTGCTTGGTGACTATTGATAAGCTCTTGTTCCTCTCATTCAACTTTTTCATGGCTGATACAACTGATTTACAATATCATATGAATCATGTGTTCATTTGACTCTTCATCTCCCTCACCATTCTTCCCTGCAAGCTGTTCGCAGTCTCAAAAGGCGTTTCAATTGCTTCAGTAGGGTTACAGTATGCACAGTATATATATATATATATGTCTTGCTTAGCTGTTTCTCTCTTTCTACATATTCAAACGTGCCTTAACATTGAGCACCAAAAAGGAAGGCTGCTTCAATGTTTACAAGGTTCTTTCTTCGTCAAGCCATTTGTCTGGTTTAGCTCTTTCAAAGAAGGTAAGGAGCTAGATAAAGACTGGGTGCAAGAAGTTTGATTAACGTATCAAGGCAATAAAACGGCTATATATATGTATATATTGGTTTTCTTTGTCATGGTTCTTGCTTCTCTTGGTTTGGACAAAATTTAAATGCCAGCCAAACTCATACAGCAATGAAGTCTGTGTTATTGTGCTCTTTATTTAGCAACTTGCAATGTCTCTACTTAGACCGCTGTTTTTCTGGGCTTGTTAGAGTAGGAAGAGCTTGCTGAGGAGATAGATTGGACATCAAAGATATTTTTTAAGGATATATAGTAAAGCCTATTGGAGAAATAGAAAAGCCTTTTGAGATCACGGCGAAGTTGCTGGGCCGCGTCGAGATTGTTGGAAGCTCAAGTCTGCATATCTGATATCAATCACCAAAAATGAAACCATGGTGATGAGAGGCTGCAACCGTTCAAGCTTCAAAGCCAAACAGCTTTGACTAATAGTCAGAACAAACGAGTACAAATGACCAAGCAATGATTGATATTGGCACAAAGAAAAGTCAAGCTGATAATTCTTGTCATTAGTACAGTATTACACATAAATTCACATAAATAGTAGGCAAACGGAGATCCAGCTGTTGATTGCTGTCATTGACATTGCACATTTAGATTGGGCACAGGAAGATTAAAAAAACAGGTTGCAAAGCGTTTAGAAATATGTTTAATATGTTTAAGAATGTGCTTGGTATTTACAGTGTTTTTGAAGGGCTTTGAGCTAGTGTGTGCTCTCCCAGGTACACCTGCTCTCAAGAACTAGCGGTCAAGAATAATATCCAGTTACTTGACATCAGTTGGCCTCATCCAACAATCATTTAACTGACTGAGGGGTCTCGGCTGAGGGGGTGTTCAAATCACCCAGCACGGTGGCCAACCCGGCCCATGCAAGACAAGCAATCAAATAGTCAAAGTGTCAAGCCCAGGGACCACTACTGTTGAAGAACAAGACCCTGCACCACCTCCAATAACAAAAAGCACTAGCATTATAGATTCTTCCATACAATGTTGCGCAATTAATTACTTATGTGAGAGTCATTGCATGACAACCTGTCCAAAGAAATGGCAGCATCCTACTTGCCGTGCGGCCGTGTGGCCTACCCAAGAGCTAACACCCATGGCGACGGCGACAATGCAATGAGTTGCGCAAAGAAGTACACAAACTGGCACCTTTGGTCCCTTGAGAAACAATGCTGCAGAGACGACCAGCTGACTACTGGTCTGGGTTCGCAAAGCTGCTCAAGTTGGAAGGAACAAAATACAATAAAATACACGTGTTGTGCTTGACTTCTTTAGGCATGGTTCTTTATGTCATGCTACCAGCACCGCGCCTCTGTGAGAGGTACCCGATGCCCGCGCACACCCTCTGGGCCGATCTCAAAACTATCTACCTGGCATGGAATCCTCAACGCGACGAGTCCAATCCATTGTATCATGTCCACTATGTGGAGACCAAATGAACGTGTTTATCAGGCTCCTTGAAGTTCTCCTTGAAGAGTTTGGGAACATGGCATGCCTGTGACCAGTTGCATAAATTGTACTTGCAAGGAAGAAGATCGAGAGGGACGTAGAACCAGTGCAGCTTAATTACCGGTGATCCTTGATGATACCTTTTCATTGCAAATACAATCAACTACAATTATATACACTCAGACAAGCAAAGACTTTGGAAGGATGGTCAACCAATGCCAAGAAAGCAGAAGAAACATGGATTGCCGATTGCATCATCTGAGCGATCGAAACCCAGAGACAAAGCCTTTCTCCTGTTGAATCGTCCTATAACATAAGTTTGTGGAATCGACACCCATCTTCCAAAACATGGAGACCAACCAAAGCCTTAGACTCCACTCTTAAGATCTCATTTAGTCTACACTTACCTGAAAACAAAGCAAATGTATGCCAATGTGAAGTTTCCCACATAGATTCTACGAACCACTGAAGAGGTGCCGTTCTCTCTCTCTCTCTATCTCTTCGCCTGGCGGCTCAGTCGGAAGAGCACCTCTTGGGTCCGGCCATCGCCGCCTCGGACATCCGTCATCCCGTGTCCAGGCTGTCTGAGGGCACCAGGTCGTCTGTGTAAGGTGATCATCTCCGGATGAGCCGGCGGAACTTGGGTGCCTAGCAGTCTAGTACGGTCTGGAGACTGAAGCATTGTCTGGTCTTTGTGATGCAGGCCAAGGTGAGTAGCAGCACCACCCCTCCGATTTTGCTCACCAAGCACCCGTGCGTAGGACCAGGGCTTTTCGACCGCGGACGCCCAACTCCACAAAGGCCTGACATCGACCGGACATTTGCCCCTCTGGGAGATGACCCTTAGATGGGGATGGGTCAAAACTTGGAGCCAGGTAGGTGAACCTTCACTTCACCTCACTCCGCCTTCGGAGCTCCATCACTGCCACACCTGAGTGAAACCTAGCTCCACGGCGAGGGTAGGTGAACCTAGGTATATATCCTAAATTTGACCCACAGCCATATGAGGTGATGTGAGGATGATCGAAGCGCTTCGACAGGGGCACCCAAATGGACGCCCTTGAGGAGTACATGAGGATCCTCTGCATGATGTGCCTTTCGATTCTTCTCTGCGGGGCTTCAGCGAAGTGGGGCCACTAACAATACTGGCTCAACTCCTTGGATTGCGATCTGAATGCTTTTGTGGAGACAATTATACGGTAGTGACTATCGTGGAACTGTGGGACCCAAATCCTCCATTATTCCACGAGGAGCATCGAGGAGCTATAAATATATATATATACTTCGTGACGTCCACCCTGTACAACCAGGGCTAAATAAGTGTTCTCAAGGGATCCACTTCAGTCTATATCATATTAAACCATAATATATATATATATATGTATTATATATATAAGTTTCAAACCATTACAAGTTACAAGTGTGTGAAGTGGCAAGGCCAGCAATGCGGGTTGGCTCGAAGTTCTTCAACCAATACCCAGACATGGGACATCATGCGACGGAGACGGGCCGCAAGGTCGGCCGTCAAGGCAGTCCGGAGCCTTCACGACCTCCCTCAACATTGCTTGGTCCTGAGAGCGAAAGCTCCTAGTAGCGTCCTTGTTCCTAGTAGTAAGGCCAGGAGCCCCTAGTAGCGTCCCTGCTCCTAGTAGCGATGCCAGGAGCCCCTAGTAGCGAACATTGTTCCTCTATCCTACACTGTCTTAGAGTAGCAACATCTTCCACAGGTCTATCGGTATAGACTTTGTCATACTTTGTCCTCCTTTATAGATGGTTTCACGGGTCATGAATGTCAGCATTTGTCTTGCGTCTTCCAGTCCACTGATGCACAAGATTTCTTGCATAGTGCCAAGATCATTCACATGAAAGAACCGCCGTTCAACACTAAGACAACAAGCACTGTTGAAGATGTTTATTGGATTGCAAGTGGGACTTACGTAGATCCACTCAACGCGCTACTTTCGCCCAAAACCTCCTAGAGATCTTCTCATGCCATCTTCAACAGAAAACTATGGAAACTGCAGTCCTTCAAGACCTCAGTCACGTTGGAAGCCTCCGGTGTCCTGTGGCACGGAGGTCTTTTGTAGGGTGTCAATCACAGCCTGTTTGACATAGATGAGAGACTCTCGACAGGTTTTGGTGGAAAGTTCTGCAGAGCGCAAGACCAAGCCATGGAGCATCCTAGATGTTGACACATGCTGAGTCATTTCTTGTCTCCGTATAGCACGCCTTGTGTAGCCATTGGCCGCCGCTGGGGGCCTGCCGCAGTCCCAACGTGTAACTTCTTAAAGCTGGAAATTGAAAGAATTTCCAGCAGAAAAGCTGGTTCGTTTGCCCCATGCCTACCAGAGTTTCCTTGCGTGGTTGGTCATGAGTGAGGCAGAACACCATGTAATGTCTCAGGCAACCAACATACCTATCTAATGCTCCACCCCAAACTTGAGCTTGGAGTATCGACCATCTCTCTAGCTCGTCTGGTTCTGACCTATCTACCATGAGCATCGTTGTATTCACGGCTGATGTACCGACTTGGACTTGCATCAACTATGTATTATGTATGCATAGACTATTTCAGAGGCCAGACACAGAGAGAGAGAGAGAGGGAGAGGCAACTTGCCTGGTAATTTTTGGGCTGATGATATATCATGTGATGCATCAACGCATCCAAACTGCCAAAGGACACTTGACCATACCTATAATACACATTTATATGCTTACTGTAATTACAAAGAAAGGAACACCAAGACTGGCTTTGAGGAAAGCTTGGCCACGGTGTGGTGGCCAAAACTTGCAAACCACAAGACGACCAAACTCAACATCATGTTAGATCCTGTTAAGACTTGGATTGTTGGTTTGCGTGTGAAGCATTTGGATAGATCTTGCCCCAACACACCCGCACAACTGAGCTGGGCGTGCAGCACCTCGTCGCCGCCAGGGAAGCACCAAGTGGGCCCCGGAGGCGTGCGACCTCAGTACAGCATGACTAGAAGCCATTTTCACTGACAAACACAATTGCATCCTAAGACTTCACGGAGAAGTCAGAAAGTGCTTCATAGTCATTTGGATGATTCCCTGCAAGGTCGCGACGTCAGGTCCCTACTTGGGTGGTGTTAGGCTGAGGGTTTTGTTGGGTGTCTTTTTGAAGCATGCTGTTCAGGGTATGACCGTATGACCACCCCTCCTACATAATAAGCGGGTCGAGACACTGCATTCCTGCCTCTGATTTAATTCCTTGCTTGTCTTACAAGTATAGACTCATTCATAGACTGTTTGGCTTGGAAGCCAAACCATGCCAAACCAAAGCCAGGCGACTGGTTAAGAGAAGACCAAGAACCAATCAGTAGACTGAGAATGTTGCGGAAATTCAGATTACTATATATATATATATATTTATATTGTATATATGTGGGCAGCAAGACCTTTTCACATGTGCATTGTCCCCTGCACATAGGGCCGCGTCGGGCCACCTCGAGAGTTAAACATTTCGGAATCGTGATTTCATCCAAAGCGACATGCTATTCACATCGCAGCTACTCTCTATTGGATGAAATCTCCGTATGGCCCTGCTCTTTCAGCGACCATTGGCCAATCTCCATGACCCTTCTCAAAAACGACGGCGTCATCTTTTTAGTTAAAGGGTCCGAAATCATGTTTCCTCCTCCGACCCACCTCACCTGACCCGATGAATGTGCCAAGTCACTCTTGAGGATGGTGAGGTCGATGCCAGTGCGCTTGTCATCTATGTGTGCTGAGGTGTTGCGACACTTGGTCATCGTGTCGTAGAGGGACTTTGAGTCTGTGGCTGCAACAAAAGGAAAGCTGGCCAGCTGTGACTCCCATTTATCAATCTGAAGATTGACATCGAACAGCTCGGCCAGCAAGAAGCGATGCCAGTGGAGGTTGCCGATGCCCTGAAGCATCGATTGGCACTCTGCCGACAGGGTGTTCACTGTGCAGCGTTTGAGCTTATAGCTCTTCCAACCAGCAATCGTGATGTCCTGCTTGTGGTCAGAGGTTTCTAGATCCTGGTGGTAGTAGAAAAGGAGGTATCCTCCTTGACTGTGTTTCTTAGCCAGTTGGAGGAATCGTTCAGACAGGGTTTGGTTCGTGACCTTCTTGTCCTTGGACTTGAAAAAGGTGGTGGTACCTGTCCATTGGGCACCTAGGTCTTTGAAACCATCTGTCCCATCCCACCTGTCATGTTCGATCTGGCTTCCAGCTTGTGTTCTACGGTCTCTAGTGATCTGGTGCAGATCTGGGCCACTTGGATCAATCACTGAACCGGGATGGAAGGTTAAGCGACGTGGTGCGACATGGTGTCGGACCCAGGTTGTGGGTGTTTCCGTCCAGTAGTCCTTGGTGTTGTCACAGTCGGCATTGGGACCGGCATTGGCCCAAGAAGCATCGGTAGCTACTCCAATCCTGAGCTTGGAGAGTGGTATTGGTTGGATTCTTAATCCCAAGTCAGAGGTTCTTCGGAGGTCTTCTGCGATGCTATTTCCTTCTACAATGTCTCGGATCATGGGGTGAGGCATAGTTTGCTGAAGAAGTGAGACTCGTCCAGCAATGTCTGGTCGACATTCTTTGGCCACCCAACTCAGGCCTCCAATGAGCTGCCGAAGCTGTCCGATTTCTTCTTCCGAGCATCGAGAGTATTTTTGAGCTCCACGTTCACGACTGAGAGGGATCTTCTTGATGTAGTTCTCGATGTAGTTCTTTTGGGTAACTCGAATGGACCCGTTGGCTTCCGGAGTTAGTTCCTTGCCAGTGAATTTCCCTTCTCCCGTGGTGAACTTGCCCATCTTGTAGTTCTGTTGAAGCCACTTCATGTTCTTCCAATGTTGTACTCCACCTCCATGGACCATGTCGTCAGTGGCGAGAGCGATGATGCCGACCGTGTTCCTGGTTTGGCGGCATCGGAGGTAGAAAAGACATGGGTCGGCTCGGCTCTTCTCATACCCCAACTCCTGGAGAACCCTGGTGATGTGTTGGTACCAGGCGTAAGGACCATCGGTGAGTCCATAGCAAGTTTTCTTCAAGCGTAGGAGTTGCCGTGGATGATATCCTGGAAGTCCTTCAGGGGGGAGTTCAGCATAAAGTTCCCGAGCTATCAGATCTCCAGCATGAAATGCTTGGGTGAAGTCCAGGTGTCCGAGTTCCCATCTCATACTGGATATCACTTGTAAGGTGAAGAAAACAGTTTCTTTTGCGACCTGAGGGGTCGTCGAGGCAAGGTCCTCGGCACCTTGTTCCGAGAAGCCTTTCATGACGTGTCTGGCCTTCGCCTTTTGGGGTCCGAGAGATGGATCATTGTCCTCAATGAGTAGGCCGTCTTGTTGGAGCTTCTCGACTTCCTCCACCTCGACTCCCTTCTCCGTGAGGACGTAGCGGGACTTCATGATCTTCTCCGCTTTGGTTCTCCTGATATGTTCAGATTCACCCCGATCGAGGACCTCGTAGGCACCTGAGCTCAGGTTGTTGGTCACCTCCTTGAGGATGGCCTTGAGAAATTTCTCTTTCTTCTTGGCGGGGAGCTTGTTGAGTACAATCTCCTTGCCCTTTTGTGGTCGAAGCCGGACGAGTTCTTGATACAGTAGTTCCAGAGCTTCTGTCCTGATTCGTTTGACTGGTGGTTCAGGGTCCTCCACTCTCTCGCGGATCACTGGAGTAGACCGTGGTGACGTGGGTCTCTCCGGGGGCTTGTGGTTGTCCTCATCTTCAATCATCCTTCTCTCACGCTCTTCGTGGGGATCTTGGTCACCTGGTTCGGTAGGTGTGTAGTCATCCATCCTGGGCGACATAGACATAGGTTCCGGATGGTCGAGGTCTCCCTCCAAGGCTGGTTCCCTTTCTTCCGGTTTGAACTCGACCTCGGTCTCTGCTGTTTTTCCTTCAATTCGGTATCGAGGTTTCTTTGGTGGTGGTGGTTCCTCCCGTCAGGTCGATCACGATCTTCTTCTTGTTCTGGTAAGGGTGCATTCTCGATGGCCGGGGGCTTCTCGTCGAGGATGATATAGTTTCTAATCTTGTGGTTCTGGATCTCCTTCTGGGTGTTGACAATGTCGGTCAAGAAGTCCATGAACTGGAACTTTTCGTCATTGGTTATGGGACGAAGGTGTTCGGGAGCTGCTTTCACGAGAGTTCCTCTATAGCTGACCCATATTGTGTTCGGGAGGTCCGTGAGGATGACCTTGCCAGGCCCATGCCAAAAGGCTGGAGAGTCCTTCTTCTGTCGTTCCATTCCCTTTCTCCAGAAGTAGACCGTTTGACCCACCTCATAGTCGTAGAACCGTTTGGGGCCTGCATAGACCGAGTGTTTCAAGGCTTGTTCGCACTCGACTTGATGGAATGCAACAGCGGCTTGGGTTCGAATGTCTGTGGATCGTTGAACTTGTGCATCACCTGCGTGATAACGGGACATCACTCCAATGCTACCTTCACCTCCTTGAAAGATGCCTCCTGGAAGTCTGGGACTGTAACCAAGCATCCGTTGAATGGGGCTGAAGCCGGATTTGTTGGACAGGCGGTTCATGGTAGCGTTGACCTCGTCCACGATGAGGTGCCACTCGTCCCAAGATGAGCAACCTGCTTCCATTAGCGTTTTGGGCAGGACTTCTTTAAAGCTTCTACCAGCTCGTTCCGTGATGGCTCTTTGAGTTGGCATCTCTAAAGATCCTGGGTCCAGGTAGATGTCGTTCTGGTCCGCCATGAGCTCGAAGTGTCCTTTGAACTCTTTTCCAAGGTCACAATAGATGGCCTCTGGTGGTCCAAAAACTCTGAGCCACTGGTGAAATGCCCGAACTGCTCCTTGAGGTGCGTGGTCTTTTACAGGGATCATCAACTGAAATCGAGTAGCCCAGCAAACGCAGTTGAGGGCCATCTTGAGTTTGCCGCCAGGTTCAACTCCCGGTAGCCATACGGTGTCCACTCCCACCACCTGGTTTGGTTTCAACTGTCTAGGAGGAGCGGCCTGTCGTGCCCCATCGACTCTTTTGTGTCTGATGCAAGTCGGGCACACAAGATTCTTGGCGATGTTGACGGCTTCCGTGGAGGCCTTGGCGGTCTTCAGGATGTTTGCTAGTTTTTGGTTTCCTGGGTGTCCTAGTCCGCAGTGCGCTCTCCGAACAAGGCTTTCAATGCTACCTGGTCGTTCAAGAGGTAGAGGTCGTTCAGCATGAGGGTCTTCTTCCGGTAGTTCATCTTCTCCTAGATCACGAACTGGCAGTGGTTCATGATGATCAGCTTGAGGTCCCTCCTCCGACTCCATTTCTTCGCTCGCCATGATCTCCATGAGTCGGTCCACTTGGTAGCTCTCCTTGAAGAGGTCGTCGGTGTGGGAGACATAGAGCTCCTCGGTGTAGGAGATGGAGGCCTTATATGCCTTAAGGATGTGGTCTACCAGAGCTGTAGGGTACCTAGCCGCGTAGGCTGATCTTTGGATTCCGTGTGAGGATCCAAGGATTGGTCGGTGAGGGTGGTCGCCTGGGCATTCTTTGTGAAGTGCACTGGCCAAGACCTTGTTGTTGCACAACCATCCAGTGGGCTTCTTATGGTAGTCACCCTCGATGGATTTGAGCTCAAACTGGCATTGGTCATTCTTGGTGAGGAAGATAGCCGGATCTTCAAGGAGGGTCCTCAGGCGGTGATCCTGCCAGGCCTTGGATGTCCATGGATGCTCAAATAGAAATGTACCCCCATATTCATGAACCATGTGGCACAGTTCCACCGCAAATCCTAACAACAATTTGGCCTCCATGAGTCTCCTATGGTATTCCCGTTGTTTGTGAGGGTCGGACTCTCGGAATTTAAGACTCAAATTCTGCAACATGGACAGCATGGTGCAAGGAGGGGAGATGCACACCAGCCCTGGTTTATGTTTGTTCAAATACTCGCGGACGGTCCTACGATAGGTTTCCTTAGTCAAGTCATGTCCGAGTTCGAGGTCGAACGCTTCGCCGGCTCGTAAACCATGTCGTTTCGAACGGCTCGAAAAACGATTCGGGTTGTAAACCTCTGCGACCAGCTTAGCTTGTTTCTTTCCTGTGGAAGGTCCCAGGAGTTTGGCCAAACGGTGCACGAATTTACAATTCGGAGTTTTTGAATAATTGGCTACTGTACAGAGCAGCTGGTCAAAGGGATTAGGTCCCTCTGGCTCCTGTAGGCAAGTCATAAGGTTCTGCCACATTTGGTGGGCTTCTGCTAGGGCACCCTGTCCCTGTCGCAGCAAGCGCTTCAACTTCCTACCGCTCAGCTGACTCTCCTCGGCCTTGATCATCCCTGGTAGGGACCGTCCTCCCAAATTCCCCCCGACTGAAGCTCCCGACTGCTGCAGGCGGCGGGCCATTGGCGGAGTGAGATTGTTCATGTCCTCCTGGTAGATCGGGTAGCGAGGCGGAGGGTATCCCTCTTGGTACTGAGCTCCCGGATGTTGGCGAGTCAGTCGAGTGATGTAGAGGGACTTTTGGTCCTTCTGTTCCTGGCGCTTCTGTGCCTTTTCCATTCCCAGAGGGGTTGGCTCGTCCACTAGGGTCCGGTTGCAGTCCAGACACTTCTCCATGATCTTGAAGGCATTGGTTCCCGCTCGGCTGATGTTCCGATGCGGGCAGCGTCGGGGTAGTGGTGGTACCTGCGGTGTGGTGGACGACGATGGGGCTCCCCTCCTCATAGGTTGTGGTGAAGGCTCCTCCAGGTGATCGAGATCCGGACGGAGTGGTTGCCGATTGCACCACTGGAAGGTGGAGCACTGTCCTTGTCGATCCATCGGGCACCTCCAGAAGAGACGGCGGTTGTTCTTCGCCGTGTGACTCAGGAATAGTCGGCATAGGCGTCCATGACCGCATTTGGGCGGCGGTCCAACGATCTCCTTCATCTCTTCGAGCAGCTGAGTCACATCTCCCTGGGAGGACCCGGGACTGGCTTGAAGGAGCTAATTCAGAGCTCATTCTCTCCCATGAGGCTTCGCTGGTGGTCCTGGTCGGAGTTCGGGGCGCAGGCGCTCGTTCTTCTTCCGGATCGGGTAATCGATGGCGAGGAGGATGTAGGTCGCGGGCCTCCGTCGGCCGCTTCATCAGGTTCTCGAGCAACACGTTGAGCCCTTGCATGACATAGAGCAACTTCCGAAGCAGGCGGTTCCATCCCCAGAGAGAGGGAAAGTGGGCCTCCTCTCGTGGTCCTCGAGGTCGCTTCAGCTCCGGCATGGCTTCCATGAGAGGGGGATTGCTTCGGAGGTTCACGCTCGTTGTCAGGGGCTCCGGTTTTGGTCTGTGAAAAACTGTCTGCGGCGGGATCATGTGATTGTTCCGTCTTGAGTACCTCAAATTCTTGGTTGTTGCCGCTGACCTCTTTACTGAGAGATTCCAATTGACCGGGGGTGAACTCACACAACGGAATCCGAAGGGCGCCGGTGGGTCCTAGGTGACATTTAACCGTAAACCCTTGCTTCCTGAACCGCACCCGGAGTCCTGTCTCATTATCGAGGTAGATCACCGCCCTACACGAGATGAGGAAGGGCAGGCTGATCAAGAAGGGGGCGGCCACACTCTCGGGGTTGTCGAAGACGGCCGGCATGAAGTATGAGCCCTTCTGTCCAATGCTTGTCGGAACTGCCGCGACGACTTGGGTGCTCGAGATCCCATGGACGCTCTTGAAACGGTGGGTCTGATCTTTGGTCCTGACTGGGAGTCCAGGAGGGAGACGTTGAGCGAGTCGTTCAAGGGTCTGCCGGCCCACTACCATTCGTTGGCAACCGGTGTCGATGGTTGCGCAACATTCATCGGGATACGGGTTCGATCGGACGGGTTCGGAAACAAGTTTCGGACTTTCCCCATACATAACCCCAAAAATATCGTGATCACTACTGGAGCCACCTTCCCAAGGGTCACCCTGGAGTTCGGCCATATATGCACTCTCGACGTGAGGTGCCATCAGGCGTCGATCACTAGATCCCGGGCCGCCATGACCCGGGACATCTGCGGAGATTTCATCGCTCAGGCGTTCACCTCCAGGGAGAAAAGCACCCTCACCCGGGTGCTCCTCAAGGTGGCCGCAGAAGATGGCCTCTTCCAACACATGGGCCTCCTTCGGGGCTCCACGATCTCGGTCCTTGTCAGGGCATTCCTTGTGCCAGTGACCGGGTTTCCGACAGATGGCGCACTTGGTGACCTTCTTCAACTCCTCCACGGTCATGCGGTAGTTCCCTTCCTTGAAAGGAGCATTGTGCCCCACCATCGTGAAGCTCTTGGTCTTGCCCTTGAAGGTGTTGGAATATCCTCTCGACAGCTCCTTCGCCTTCTTGGCCTTGAGGGTCTGCATGTAGGTCTTCTTCTTCTGCTGCAAAATGGTGCTCAGCACCTCCGCGGCCTCGTGTTCTTCGAGAACACTTCCATCACCGTCTTCTCCATCGTGTCCTTCTTCGTCTTCACCTTGGAGGTCTTGAAGCGCCTCCTCCACGGCATAGATCTCGTCATCCTCCAGGTCATTGGGCTCGGCATTGATGTAGTGGGCAGCAGCGGAGGATGTCATCCGAGAACTCGTGGTCATAGTTCCTTTCTTTTCCTTTTCAATCCCGACCTGCGAGGCCTGGAGCTTTGTCTCGTGCTTGCGGATCCATTCCCGGATGTCTCCGGGTTTGATGGACCCTCGAGAGTAGTTGAGGAGCGACTTGATGTCGGCATCGGAGAGCACCAAGGCGTTGATGAGCAAGAAACCAACGTACCGTTCGGGAAGAACGACGGAGTGCTCAGTCACCTTCCTCATTGCCACGTCCCAGCGGCTGAAGAAGGCTCGAAAGTGCTCATCCTTGCCTCGGCGAAGATGGAAGGTGATCTTCGCCAAGGCGGCCAACAGCTCCTCCTCGCGGTCCTCACCGAAGTTCTCGGGGAGCTCCATGAGGGCGATCAACTCATCGCCATTGCCATCGCTGGTCATCCACGCCCGATCCCGGGCGAGATATTTCATGGTCTCGAAGGGGGTCTTCGTCAACTTCTGAAGGAGTAGCGGCCCTCGTGCACGGGGACGGGCCTTGGTGGTAGCAAGCCACAACCTGGCCTTGATGGCATAGTCCTGAAAGGCCAAGGATTCGCCATCCCACTCTGGCGGTGGCCCATTGCTTCCAAAGCTGCTACCACCGTCGCCCAAGTCACTATCGGCACTCCTGGTCGAGCTGCCATGGCGCCGCCGGTGTTGGCGGTGTGGATACCGGGCTCGAAGAAATGCCCGGAACTCATCACTGTCAAAGGCCTCTTCGGCCAGTTCCTCTTCATCCAAGTCACCAGGGCGTGGCAGCCCTTCATCAAACTCCTGGCCTTCCGGCCTCGACGAACCATCGGCTGCTGTCGCAGCCGCAACCGGGGGCATGGCTCAAAGCGAACCACCAACCAGGGACAACCCCAAAACACCCCAAACAAAACCGACCAACCGAGCCAGGTCCAAGGGCCGAACCTGGCTCCACTACCACTGTGGGCAGCAAGACCTTTTCACATGTGCATTGTCCCCTGCACATAGGGCCGCGTCGGGCCACCTCGAGAGTTAAACATTTCGGAATCGTGATTTCATCCAAAGCGACATGCTATTCACAATATAATATACAGTATATTGTTGGAAAGGTTAAAATCCAGCTTCGCTGTGAGCTTGACATGTGTTATCCAAAAAAGAGCAAGCATGTTACTGTTCAGAGCTCTTTTCCATCGCCTGACCATCGGTCCTGATTTCTTCAGTCTCCGACCTTCGAGGGGCTGGGAAAGGGATCTTGTATGAAGACTCACACTGGCAAGATGGCGAAAAGTGCTCCGCTCAAGATATGCTTTGCTTGCTAAATTCCAACAAGGGATTGAACAACTACTGTACCATCCAACAGTGCGCACGTTCTGAGTAGATCCCTGCATGGAGCCTCCAAACTGCTCACCTTCACCACCTCAGCCTTGCAGTCAAGGCTGGAAGGAAAAGTCATCGCGTGAGTCCAAAAGGGCAAATCAACCCTGACGCTTCGAACCGGCAGAAAGTAAGCACAAAGTGACAAAGTGCAACAACAAACCAACAAATGTATACAGTACAGTGTTTGAACACACTCACCAATCAGGCGTGTGCCGTTCCAGATCGATGCAGTGTTTGACAGAACGAACATGGTTAGCACCAGTGCCTACTCAACACAAACTTCAAACAGGAATGAAACTTTTGGGTACAGTCCCCCGTCCGTCCAAAGGCAGCATAGGCAAGAGGCAACAATTGGCACGTCTTCTGGTCACAAACCTCGCATTGCAGAATACAGAAATCTAACCAACCAACCACACAATGATGCGGCATCTCATCACCATGAACATGCACCCAACGTGGGTTGATTCAGCTCGGCTTCGGGTCAGTTGGAGACACAGCAAGAGACGGCCAAAGCAGCAATCACCGAAACAGGGAGAGTTCCAGCCATTTTGAAGCCAAAAGGCAGGCGAATGGGTCGACGCGGAGACAGGGTGCTCAGGGTGCTCCGTGAGACTCGCAGATCCGAGCCCTGCCCTTTGAGCGTCCATTAGAGTGACCGTCCCACTCGGAGTGTAAGAACATGTGACGAGTCTTCTAGTGGAATCCCCGCATCTCATCAGCGCGTCTCACCAAGCCATCTATACAGTCTATACATGTTACAGGAAAGGCCTGTGTGAGCAAATGACAGAAGCAAACAAACATGGACATAGCATGACATAGCATGTAGATCATTTAGACTCTATGCATTGACATGGGCCAAGGTGCCAAAGAGCACAAATGAGCAGGTGAAGTTTAAGGCACATAAGACACAAGCATTGCATGTCCATCTCGTTCGACCTGTACATGTTTCTGCCAACCAAGGGTCCCACCAACGGTTTCCCCCACATTCTGGCCTCTTGTGTCGACGCAGTTTCGCATTGTTCCCGACATCAAGGATGATGGGGCCTTTGCAAAACAATGTGGTCCAAAACATTCAAGAGCAGAATCCGAGCAGCGTCAACCCATTGTGATGACCTCTTTCTGCATATAGTTAAAAAATTGCTGCCCCAAGATAGAGCCATGCATATTACTACTGCATGCATAGACTGCTCCCAGGCCCTTTGCCTGTACAGGAATGAACTAGACTTCTTTAGGGAATATGTTGATGGGAGATCAATGCAGCTTTGACAGGTGTCAACCTTGAGGGCAGCTGAGCGTGCAGCATCTTCCCAAGCACCTCCTTCTAGCCTCAAGGACAACCGTGACATGGGATCTCAACTCGTCTTCAACCTGCTTGGGCCAGCTGGTGTTGGTGGAGAAGCAATGAGAAGCAACACGTGGCACTTGGCTGTCCTTTTCCCACCCGGCTACTGGCAGAGCTTCTTTTCGGCGTGGCACTCTGGTCCTCATGAATGCCTTGGTTGGAGTTATGTTGTATGGATCTGCTATGCCATCTGATGCAATGACCAGGGCAGCACAACTGAGCATGCAGTGTCCTGGATCATAAAGGTTGATCCCCCACAATGAATTGCATGATGATACCGCAGTGCCACTCCACTTAGAGCCCATCCTCCCCATGAGCACGCAAGGCGAGTGGAAGCATTTCGGAGTCCTCCTCATCATCATCTGAGATGCCACCTTCACACACCAGCTCAGCACATTGAGCCCCCACTGTTGCTTGGAGGATCCTTGCCAGCATGCTTGCTTGGGATGACTTTTATACAGCTGAAAGGTGCTTTTTAATTGCATTCCACAACCCTGACTGTTAAGATCGTTTAAGAAATAGTGTCTGAATCAGCGAGCTTTCCCTGGTGGAATTCGACTCTTGAGACAGGGCAGGCCGTCCCATCTCTAAACTTGCCGACAAGGACAAGACCTGTCCGTGCCACCCCTTCCAAACCCTTTGCTGCTCAAGCTCCGCTCGGACAGACTGCTCACATCCCCATCTTCCACACGGCACAGGTGGTTCACCCGCTGGCAAAACTTGTACTCCTGGCCGGAGCACACAAGTCGCAGTGTTTTCTCCAGGACAAGCACTCACTCCGGACGTTCTGTTAGCTTCCCGACGAGCACCCGACCCAAACCCTTGCAACCGGATCTTCGGTACATTGTCCTGAAAGGACTTGGTGCACAAGAGAACCGTCGCATGGAGAACGGCTGCGGCCAACTGGGATGGCCAATAATGGGCCATGAGCTCATCTTGGAACGCCAAAGCATCCATTAGCTTCGCTGCGACCTCCATCAAGCTGTGCATGTCTTCTGGATCAGCCAAAAGCTCTTGGCACAGGAAGAGGAGCAAGGAGACCTCGGCAAAGAATGATGCTAGGAAGGCAAACTCAAACTGGAGAAAGTCGGAGTCGGAATCACTCAGAAGAGTGTTACGGTTACATCAGTTTCAAATCTAGCTCGAGTCCAAACCTGCGTTGACGTGAACCTCGGCCATCAGAATTGATTTGCTCCAAGCTCACAAGCAGGAAAACCTTTGACCCCCCAGGTTCACCAAACCCAAAATTACAGAGTCATAAGTCATCACAAATCCTTGCACAACCCACCCATGATGGAACAGTACGAAAGCTCCGCGGTGTTTATCACACCTTCACCGACCTTATCACACATTCACCAAACAAAATCCATGTGCAAATCCTAGGGACCCACTCGATCAGCAGCACCCCCTCAAGGTGCACGTTGCACTCCAAGGCCGTTAAAACCTCCACCTCTGCGTTCATGAAGTCTTGATGTGTGAAGGCCTAGACGACGCTCCCGGCTGGGGTGACCGTGTTCCGGCTGAAAGCAGATTTTCAGAGAACTCCATCCATTCCGTGAATATTTGGGGTGTCCTCATTGGGGTACGGGGTGAAAGGAGTTCACGCATCACATGTTGATTATGTTGTCAAGAAAGTAAACTATGCAAATGTTGTTGTAAGGTGTTGCAATGCAAAGGCGCTGAAGCAATCACGGCAAATGATCAATGAATCGCAATGAGCTCAATTGAGCTAAAAGCCCAGATTTCCAGGAGCCACACGTATTGTAATCAAGCGCCCTCTCTAACCCCCCTGTGTTGCGACTTAGCTGCATTGCAGCTCAGCCAGTGCATGCGGGACTCCGAGATGCCATGACGCTGCCAGAATTTTGCTGCCAGGTTACCACACGTCAAAGCCACCACCTCGTTTGCACCGTATTGGATGGTGCATCGAAGGTACTGGCTGAGAAACACTGAAGGAATCCAGGTCTACACAGGCTCTATACCAAACAGAGCTCCGGAACGAAGGTGTCTCTTCAAGGATCGACCGGGTCCATCTGACTCGCCTGCCAATGGGCCTCCGAGTGGCCGCCCTGTGCCTTCCAATAGCGTTTCAACAGCAGCACTGCCTGCGATGGCACTTGGAAGGAGCAATGAATGGGTCATGATATCACAATTTAGAGCTACTAGTAGCCTTCGCTCCTGGCATTACTACAAGGAGCAAGAAGCTACTAGGAACAAAGGATCGCTACTAGGAACAAGGACGCTACTAGTAGCTCCTGGTATTCGAACTAGCATTTCAAGCTAAGCTGCTTCATGTACTTCAGTGGCCAATAAGTGCAAAGAAAACGCGAAAGAATCTTCGTCATCCTGCATCTGATGGAGGTATATACTCGTGAGAACAACCCCATTGAAAACTTCTTGAGGTCAAACGAACCTCAAGAACTGGGCTATTAACTTTGTATGAATTCCAAGCACTGTGTGACTCCACATGCAGTTCTGCGACCCACGACCCGTTTCTGACCTCCTGTCGGATATAAGCGCGATGATCGCGACAAACCCAGCAGAGATAGTCTACCAACTTGGTGAGCCGTGAGGAAGGCTCCCAAAGCTGCTGGATCTGATGCCGGTGTTGGCTCTCGTGAAGTGCATTCAGGATGTCCTCAGTTCTTTTTTCATCTCAACGCCGGAAAGACTCAGCCCATACAGACCCATAGCAACTTGTAAGGCTGGTCATTCCGTGCCAAAACACGGGTTGTATAATGTAAGATTTATATACATGTATCATGTATTACATTTATCTCTTCTTTAAACTTTACATATTTATGAAGGTGGTGTCCAAATTCCCTTTGAGATTGCTTGCGCAACTAGAAGCCTTCAAGTATTGCAGCAGATTGCAGCAAACAAGTTATAAAGTGGAACCGAATGTGGAAATACCTCGCTGGACCGATAGTGGATTCTTCGCAGCTGAACGATGCGCTAGACACACTAGTAGTCAAGCTGGTATCAATGGCAGTCACGTAATTATCTGGACCCCAGCCAATGAGCCTGGCTATGTCGGCTGTTGCAAAACCGGGCATCATTGCTGTCCACACCGTGGTACCTTGCCAGCGGGAACAAATGCACCTTCGAGCCTTCCATGGCAGTGCGGGGCTAAAACCCCAGAGATGCTTGGGCCGCCAGTCTTTGAGGCTCAGACGAAGATCTTCCAGGCATGAAAAATGGCTCAAACAAATGCAGAACTTACATAGTGCCAACGGTGCGCGAAAGGTTTGACATATACTGTAAGTTACTATAACGACATGCCACGTGCATCGACATGCTAATGTTCTGCTGGAATACCCAGTTGATCCTAGTTGTACATAGCTTCTTATTCATGCACGGAAACAAGGAGGAAGAACATCGGGATCTCCTTTACATCCTTCACTGAAGATTGGCCTTGTCATTGTGGTAGGTCTGAGTCTGTTTCATTCTGTTTCACTGGCAGCAAGCGCATCGAAGCACCTCACATCCACCGACAACACAATGCCGGATGCGCTGAGTTGCCGACGAGCTTCATCCGCGCATCCGCACGAAAGCTCCTTCGCCTCGGCGGATGGAAAGGCACGGTGCCGGCCCGGCCGTACTCTTTGGACTGAAAGCACTTTGTTACTAGTAGGTTTTGTTCCTAGTAGTAAGGCCAGGAGCCCCTAGTAGCGTCGCTGCTCCTAGTAGCGATGCCAATAGCCCCTAGCAGCTTCTTGTTCCTAGTAGTAATTTGTTACAAGGTGGAGCAGTGATGTTCAGAGTGTGATGATGAGTCTAGACGAGGTGTCAAGCAATGCCCTGACCCCACCTGGAAGCTCACACTGTCACGCAGCCTGACCAAAAACATGTTCCGTGACAAGGAGGACAGCTGGGAAAAGGAACTTCCACCATTCCAAGGTCCAAGGTTGGATTGTTGATATACTGAAGCATCTTGAGATGCACATCAAAACTCCATCAAAACCAGGGCCCTGTGCGTGTGTGTGTGTGTGTGTGTGTGTGTGCCTGATGAAAGGAGGCCAACTCACAAGAAGCAAACTAAGCGTCTTTTGCAGGGAATCTGATTTATATAAGCAAATCTCCCTTGCCAGGAATTGCATCCCATGTGAAATTCACACGACAACCCTTGGGGGACCATTTTGTATCTACAAATGCCTCACCCCAGGTCCAAACCAACAAATCCATGGAAAAAATCAAGCCCCACAAGTTAAAAAACCTAAGTCTACAATATTGGGTAAGGGGTTCTCCTAGCTCCTGTGCCTCCTAACTCCCCAAAGATTTCGACCGAGTTTTCATCCAATGAAAACTTTGTCGAAAAGCTCTTTTCTATAAAAAGTGTCTTTTCTATAAAATGGTCGTGTCCAAGAAGACAGGGGTTGACCAAATTTGTAGAGGACATTTTAGAGTGGATGAAATCGCCACACAGAAACCACCAGACAGTCATAGATCCATCCGAATGGAAACCTCACATCCGCACCTTGCTCCAAAGATCCAGGAAACATGGAAGTTCTCCTTTTAAAGGGATCTGAAAGGTCCTTGGGAAGGGAGGACAGGCTGAGGAGATAGGTCGGATAGGCATGGATAGGCGATATGTGACAGCTCCGGGTGGTTCAAACACCTGGTGGCACCAGTCAGTCAGTGAGGCTCATGACGATCACGTTTGAAGTTGTAACCAGGAGACAACGCAGTGAGTTACTGTAATCATAATCTTGGCAGCTTGTGTTCTGAATACCAAGATGTTTCTACAAGATATGTTGCAAACCAGCCGCATCTTAAAGTAAATGTGTTGGGCCGTCCTAGTTGCCTTTCCTGCAAACCAGGTCCAGTCGTGATGTGACTGTTGGCCGCTCGAAAAGCTCACCCTACACGCTCCAACTGAATCCAGCCATATGAGATCCCTTCTTGGAATAATGGGCCTTAGCAAGATTGCCAACAACGCTGAATTGCCGACGAAGGTCTCTTCACTGGGCTTTTGCCAGGTGACATATGCACGAAGCAGCCACCCAGGGTGCACGATCTGCATCCCACCTGCTTCGATTTCGCTGGACACCCAACAACTGAAGAGGACGCCAATAACTTGCGAGCATCTTTCAACCAACTAATTGGAGGGAAACCGAACCCGTGTCCAATATTGAACTTATTGAGATGCCGTTGTCTTGAAGGAGGATGTGAGTTCAAACTCACATGGTGGCGCCCTCTACAGCGGGGCTTTGCCCTAGTGCCCTAGTGAGTCTAGTTAGGATATACTTTCCTTCTCCTGAAACTTGTGGACTACAACTGGAGATTCTTGGCCAACATCTCTCCTCTCCAGCCCAGCCTGCTTGCAAAGGACGAGCCCTGGCGTGCAAGTCCCGAACCACAAGGTCAAAAAGGGTCAAAGTCTTGACAACTCGACATCGTTCCACCGTCCGCTATTGCACACATGATTGCGGTTCCATTGATCGTCTCAGGGAAACACCAACCACCCACAAACGCTGGTCTACTGAAGCTGCCTAGCAGCTCCTTAACGATGAGGAAATGCCTAGATGTTGCTCAAGTATCCCTCGTTTGCCCATCCGATTGTACGACCCCAAGACTCTTCAGTCCGTCCGACTCTGCGGAGTTGACCATTTCGACCTGATGCCAGAGTTATGTACGTCCAACTGAGTCCAACCTCTTCGTGGATTCCGGTTTCCCACCGGAAACAACGAGGATCGCGGCCTCCACAGCTTTTCGGTCCGCCCAGCTGCCACGAGGTGCGTGGCTTCCCCCAGATTGTGCGCCAGCGTGGCCCCCAGGAGGCGACTGCAGCGGGCCAGGCTGCGCTTGGCGGCCTAAAAAGAAACCAGGTTGAGAGAAATCATGGAATGCTTTAGGCGCCAGGCCCATATCCAGTAGGCCCCTTAAAGATTTGTTTCATTCAATTCAAACATGTTCATGTATCCAACATCAACATGTGCATGAGCTGAAAATGAAGCCGGTAGATCAGATGCACAAAGATCTTTTAACTTCGAAGCATCCAAGCCTGCGGACGCTTTATCCTCTGCCTTGCTATGGAGGAGGAGTCGAACAACCCACCGTTGGCCACCCTACCACTGGTGAAGTATGTGTACCTCTTGAGTCCATCTCCCAATGCGCTCAGTGCAAAACTAGCCACAGCCAGTCCACAGCCCTGACAACTGGACAGCCTGCACTCCCCCTGGCCTGGCCCATCCCAGTGAGGCAAATGCAACCTGCAAGGCGTGGCTCGGAGTTTTGGTGCTAGAGAGATTTGGCAAAAAAAATATATGGCATTTTGGCAGAAGCCGGACACCAAGAAATTGAACAGAAAGTTTGTCTCATCTCATGGTTTGGAGGGTTTCGGCTTTGAGTTTCAGATATTTCAAGTTCACCAAGAACTCAGGTCCGAGATTTCGGGTTGTCCCAAGAACTCGACTTCTCGATCAAGTCGCTTGGCATTGAGGGTCCTATCGTCTCAAAAGGTGCCAAGATGCATCCTTGTAGGGTCTCTGCGCGAAGCGATCGGGCCACCGCTCGAACCTGAAGGATCTGAGAGGGCCCTGGTGGATTAGGCTTTCAGTGGACCATGTCCAGGTGTATGGGTACATGTGGAGCGAGGCCAAAAACATCCAAAAACTAAGCAAAGATGGGTGTGGTCTACAAACACAACACCAACAAGCATCAGCAACAGCTTCCTGCTGCAGTATTGCAACGAAACGTACTGCTCATAAGTTAAGACGTGCTGAGACACGCCGTCACAATCCTCTCCATCCACCGAGATCTTCTTGAAAGCCTCAGTTGATTGCTTTTGCTGGCTTAGGCTTAGCTGTTTGCTAGAGTTGAGCAGACCAATGCGGCAACAAACACCGTGCTTACCACATGAAGTCTCCGTTTGATTTCGTCTTTTCACTGTGTTCATCTCATAGTAGATATCAATGTAATTTTCAACCCCAGCATGCATTCCTTGCCATCGTTGCATGTGTTGGCTCCCGGTTACTGTCAATTTCTACACCATGGTGGGATTCTTCTGACTGATCACACTGGTCAAGTGAGTTTGGGGCACCGGGCTTCATGGATCCTTTTGAGGATCTTTGCCAAAAACTCCAGTTGCTGGTCATGCTGGTGGGCTGCAACTGGGCAATATGCCTTGGTGGTAACTTTCACCGGACAAAGTGCTGATGAGTCTGTTCCAGCTTGACTTTGTCTTTCGACATTCCATACACGGCTGAACCTGCCAAAAGGTGTCAATTCACCAAGAGCCACTGCCTAAATGAAACCTATGTCATTCAGCACATGATGGGAATAAAACACCTTGAGCCTACTAATACTAGATCCATCTGCTTTGTTCCACTCATCCACAGATCACCTCCTCAGAATATGCTGCATGCCTAGCTTGGTGCCACCCTCGTTGGTTCCCACAGTAGCAAGCAGGGGCCAAGATCCGACTTTGCTGAGCGTCCTTCGAATCATCCAAACGCCGGCGCTTGAGGAAGGGGGTCAGCTCCGACTGGCCGGTCACACATCTGTGCTTTCAGAGTCAGAGGAACTTAAACTAACAGATCAGCTTGAGATCTGCAGGTGTACCAACATGTTGTGCCAACGGGTGGAGTTAGCCCCGCCGGCAACATATATCCGATCGGTCTTTCAGGGTGTGGGGGTGGGGGGGTTGGGGTCAGCTTCGTCCGTGTTACTACTCGCGTACATCGACTTTGACGTTGACTTGTCGACTCGGTGACCTTTCGTTCGCTCGGTGACCGCTTTTCTTGGCTTAGAGGACGACGTTCGAGGTTTGTTTTAACACTGCGTAGAATGGGTTTTCTTGGCCGTTGCGATGCAAAGCTGCAACGACAGCACGTTGAAGGCCTCGCAGCGTTGTGGCTCCGCCAACATCCAGGGTTGGACTCAATGCTCGAGGCTGTCAGAATACATAGAGAAGCTGTGCAAGACACTTGTCCACCAGCTCAAATGTACAGTGAGCTCAATTGGGAACAAGACTTATGTCTGGCGGCTGAACAATGAGCCTTGGCAAGCTGTACATGGAGCAGGCGGGTGAGTTGGGTCCGTCAACACGCATTCAACTTATCATCTTGCAACTCATGAGTTGCAAGACGATAACTTGAGTGTCCGGAAAGCCACGA